ACCTTGGCCGCTGGAGAGGGGGGGGGGGTCGTAATCTCAAGGGTCACTCAGAGCCGAGCAATGGTTCGACATTTCAGTTGATAGTGGGAGTGGAGCTATGGAAGTCAAGATGTTTAAAAAAAAGTGAAGTTTATTATGAGTGTATTCTTTACAGCTTTAAATGCTACGTTTAACAGCCCTCTTTTCATGGGAAATCCCCAAGAATGGGTTCGTACTTGGCCGCGGGGACGTGGGGAGTATCGCAAAAGTAGGCTCGCTAGGCATCAAACAGTACAAAGGTGTCATTGCTAAGGGTAATGGAACGGACGGAAAGCTTCAGAAGACCCGGATGTAAATAGGAATACAAAATAATAAAAGATTTATTAGCAATATAGCAAGAATAAATAAATAAGTGTCAGTTTATAGCATGAACTCGTAAGTACGTAGATGACTAAATAATACGTCTCAAACAGATTCGTGCGTATTGTCCTTCCAAACCCTAAACAAACATCTGCTTGCATGGATAAAAGCACCTGAAATCAGAATTTACACCTTTCCACCACCTCTGCGTAGGAGCCTAATGCACGGCGCACGGACCAAATCGATCAGAGATAGCCGAGCTTCTCTTTCACTCATTTGAAGGGAAATATGTGTTTTGGAGGCACACTGAAAAGGTGTATCCTCACAATGGCACATAAGGAGTCAATTTTTCGGGTGGTCCAGGGGGTAGCGCAAGGGTAACCCATCTAAAATATCTCCTGAACTAGTGGGTCTTCAGAAAAACTGTAAAGCTTATTGGAAAGAGAAAAGATGGAGGGGTTTCAAGACGACTTCAGTCCTGATGAAATTGCGTTTGAACGAAGCAGTCCTTGTGTGAATCATGGAAACCAGCTCGCGATTTACCCCTGGCCGAACCGTGACCCATCCGGAATATTTCACCAACGGGGATTGTTCAGTTTGCAACTAGGTAGAATACACAATAGTAGAAACTTTGCCGTTGCATGCTGCTCACCATTCCTCAAAAGCTCCGCACCTAAAAAAGATATAACCCCCCGAACAGACCCCAGGACGTTGGCAAGTCCAACAACCGCGCTCCAATGACGTTTTTCCAAAGAAAGCGGTCGCAGCCTTGCGCCCTGCAGCCTGATCGATAATAGCCAAGTATGGAACGATTTACTGCCGGCCTGGTTATCCTTTTTTCATTTAGCTCTGCATTTTTTGTATTTTCCATGTTTCGCTTTGTTGTGTCGTGCATGTTTTCATTATTTCCCCGTCACCATTCATTGAATGCACATCTGGGCCCTGACACGCTCACCTTGGGGCTATTTTTTTCACCAATTCAGCCTATCAATGATCACCATTAGCCGCTATTTCAATTGTGTTTCTTGTTACAAGTTGCATGTCATACATAGTTATCGAACGAGGAGTTTTATTTTGAATCCTAAGACAAAATTGTAGGTAATGCGAGGCTGTTGTTCTGAAACAGCCTTTTATTTCCTGTATTTTAGAGCAGAGTGCGCCTTTCGAGAATCCAGATTCCATTTCAGGAAGCCATTTGTGGTGAACATGCATCTGGTTGTCAGTTAGAGCAGGAGGGGGGGGGTCGTATCTGGACCCTCTTCGAGGGGGGGGGGGGGGTCGTACCCACACCGCCATTTGACACATCCCCATGCTGTACCCTGACAGTCGTCATCCTCGCGCCTGATAGGAACAATCGGAGGACGCGGACGCGGGTGAATCAGCGACCGCGTCAGGAGTAGCAAACTGTCGGCGGCGCGGGGCCAGCTACTATGCGTCCTCTCACTCCCTACGCGCTCGACACGCGCCGCATAGTACTCTGCCGCCTGCACGATGACGGTCGCCTCTATAATAGACCCGTCCGCACGGCGCGTGTCGCGCGCGCTGCCTTTGGCATGTTGCCATTCGTGGTTTTGACAGAGATTGCGAGCAGGAGACGAGGACGCGAAGTTGAAATTGTGTAGAAATGACTCGACTGTATAGTTACAGCTTGTGAGAATGCTAGGGAATGAAATGTTAAGGTTGGAAGTAGTGGCCACCAATGTAGTTTAACGGTTTTCACAGGCTTATAAAGCTTTCACATTTTGAATATAAAGAAGCGCAACAAAAATGAAGAATGGGCATCGAAAAGCATTGGAATGATTCGGATACGCAAAAACCCAGCGTGAAGTGGATGGCAACTTTCTTCGAAAGTTCTGTGAGCGGTCTTGCTTCTGAACATCCATTACATCATAATCACTCGATAAGAAGGACATGTTCTTTGCGAGACATCCTAATTTCGGTCAGCTATTTGACTAACTGCGGACCTCACGCTCAATCTTTGAAACTCGCTGATTCCCTCGAGAAAGTCTCAGCTAATGTGAATTCAGGGCAATAAACCGCACGACCTCACTTCCTGAATGTTCAAATTAATAGAACCAACGACTTCCAGTGGTTGTCAAAGTAGATGAATTTGGCAAAACCCATCATATTGGTGAAAATCGTCTCCCTGAATTGCATAGCACTTCGACAGAATGGCTTGATGAGACAGGTACCCTTAGGACGATCAAACGGTCATCCATGGTCGTGTTCGCTTTCTCTAGTGAGCGTACTTCAAGAAAACAAGTTAGGATTTCGGCCATCCTTGGCAACCGCCGGTGTAGGTTGCTCCTTATCGATATTGTGGTGCTCAGGGTTTTATTTCAGTCATCCAATTTCGAATCAAAGTTGGTCATTTTGAGTCCTAGAAATCCATGATGGGGATTTCTAGGAACATATTACAGGAGAAGAGCAGGTACCTTACTCTCATCTCCTATCGATGAATTCGCACTTGTAGGACGTATTAGGCTTCATGGACTACCCTATCAACAGCTATACTCCGCATCAGTGAGATTGCTTCTCAATAGCGCCCATCACTAGTGAAACCGGCAGCGTGTCAAGGGGACCGCGCGCGACACGCGCCGTGCGGACGGGTCTGATTATAGAGGCGACCCACAGATGACGGCTATTGACGGCTGGCGCCGCGAACAGCTGATTGTCGGCTCGATGAAGCCGATTTTTCTTCAAAAATCGTCTTATTTCGGCCGGTTTTCGAGAAGGTAAGTTACTTTTCTTTTTCACTATTGTTTTTATGTTTTCAGGTTTCGTCTGTTTTTTCCCCATTTCGTCCCCCCTGTTTGGCTTCTTTTTCATTACTGTGTCACTGATGTGTTCCTGTCTTTGCTGAGAACACTCTCTGACACGGTTTTGAAGACTAGAGCCGCTTTTACACCCGTGTTCTTCAAGCTGCCCGTAAAATGCCGGCTGGTGAGTATTTCAATTTATTTTTTGTTTATTCTTTTTTTGTATGATGTATTCTTCATTACTATACCATTGTTGTGTTCTGTGCTACGCGAAGAACACACTTTGGCATGGTTTTGAAGCTTGTGTTCTTCTTGAATGGGATTTTTTTTCATGGATTGCGCTAGTGCCCGTTATTCAAGCTTTTGCTTCGCTTATTTTTTGTTGTACTTTTTTTGTATGGCTCATAATTCACAACTGTGCCATTGTTGTGTTCTTTGTAATGAGAAGAACACACTTTGACGCGGTTCTGAAGCTTGAGTTATTTTTAGACAAGCTTTGTTTCAAGATTAGCGCCGGTGGCCTCTTTCTGCACTGGTCCGTAAGTTTTATTCGCTTATTTTTTGCTTGTACTTTTTTCATACCGCTCAATCTTCATTGCTGTGCCTGTGTTGTGTTTCTTTTCATGAGGGAAACACACTTTGGCACAGTTTTGAAGCTTGTAGTTTTCTTGAAATATCCAAATGTTCAAGTTCTTCTTTGATGCCCGCCATTTGCGGCAGCTGGTGGGTTCTTTAGCATAATTTTTTGTTTGCTCTTTTGTTATAAGGCTCAGTCTTCATTACTATGCCAATGTTGTGTTTCTTTTCATGAGGGAAACACACTTTGGCACGGTTTGAAGCTTGACGTCTCTTCAACCTACAACTTTTTACGCTGCGTTCCGCAGTCGTCATGTTTTCATGGATGTTTTCGTGAACGTGATGAAAATTGTGGGTAGACATGCAAGCTATTAACAGGTATATTATTCTAATAGATTTTTGTCAAACTTTTCACTGCTTTTGCAGAGCGTGCACGCTTTGACTTCGGTTTCCACTAACATGTGCTCCGCTACGAACTGCAGCTGCTGTGCCATGTTCTGTTTCTGTTTCTTTTCACCACTAGTCGCTTTCAGTGTGTGCTACGCTTTCATTTGTTACTAACAAACAGTTTTCACTTCATTAACTCCTAGATTTTCATGGTGCACCTGTGACTATGTGAGGTAACTTTGTCACTAATGAGTTCGTAGTTTCTCTCTACACTTTCTACTGATACCTCGGTTAACGATATTGATATTTGATATTGGTTTCTGTCACAGGCCAAATGGCGCCAGTGATAGAAATCAATATCATATTCGTGATCACCACCCTCGATAACCCCCCCCCCCTTAAACCCCCCCAAAAGCAAGAGGGGCTCATAAAGAGAAATGGATTGAATTCAGAAAAAAAAAGAACAAAAAGGAAGCTGGGCTTCGGTGAAATTGTAGCGGTGCAGCTGTAGCGATACGTCGCGCTACAAGTCTGAATAAAAGCGCATAGAATGCAGTCTGTCAAACGCGCGTTAGAGCATTAGGAAAGACACCAGGTGACGTATCGGTGGTTGAAAAACGTAACTATAACGAAATTTTAAGTAATATAAATCATTAACTCATCATCATCAGTAACATCATTAACATTACAAACATTAACTTCACAACAAACAGTGACTCGTATTAGTGGAAATACCAGAACATGGGAGAATTTTAGTGGTTATAGTAGTTATGAAGATTAGTAGTAGAGAATGAGACCCGTAGTAACAAAACTAAAAGTGGTAGTTAACAAACACGACCCGTCGTTATGAGTACCTGTGAATAAAGTGAAACCCTTTCTTCGGACACGTTACAAACCCTGTGAGTAAACAATCATAACAGTATAAAACAACAAAAATATTTACAGCTCTACACTAAATTCGCTACGAACATCATCTAATATCTCACTATCAGACGAAGTGTTAGATGAGGACGAGTCCTCATCTTCAACATCATAACTGTTGGCGTCTAAAGCCTCTTTCAGGCGCGCACAATCCTCCTCTCTTTGCGCCTCCCTACACCAACCCTCACAGAGACGTCTGGTGACAGCACCCATTATCTCAACAGCCCTACCTTTGACCTGAATGACAAAACAGAACTAGGTGCAAGATTTCAAAGTTGAGAAATCAAAAACTTTACTGTTTCCAGCCTATCCGTAGGTCGTCCCATCTTATTCAGGTGATGCTTGAGATGGCTCCAACACAGTTCCACTGGATTGAAATAACAGTGAAATGGCGGGAGCCTCAATAGGTTCACCCCCATATCCTCGCAGATTTTCTCAGCAGCGTAGCAGCGTAATGCTGCTGCGCCACCTCGGCTAGCTACGAAGTAGTCCAGCTGGAAAAGACTCTAAACACTCAAAAGAAGGAGATGATGTCATTTGAAGGCGTAGACGAACCTCCTCTAGAAGGGAGTCCCTTGTACTGTCTATGGCTACTTCGACGCCGTGCGAGGTAAGATACTCTATGATCTCGCTTACCGCGGACCGTCTACTCGGGACCTGATATCAACGTTCATGAGCCTTGAAAGGATAACATATTTTGTCCTCACCTTCTCTAGGACTCTAGTGTGGTAAGGAGCATTGTCCATCACTAGAGTGACATTTCGCCCCGCCGCAAAGTCCTTCATCAAGGGGACAGACGATCTCAGCCAGTCCTCGAACACTGCGTGATCCATTGCACGATGAGAGCCGTCCTGCGCAGTTTGGTGTCCACTAACGAAAACACGGGTGCAACCCGGAATCACTCCACCGTCGCACAACGCCGTGATGACAATGCCACGCTTCCCTTTATTCTTGCCAGCAGTTTTGCCCCAGGAATATTGCCGTATTTCCTCAGCGGAAGGGAAAACGTGTCAGGCTGTTGTCCACCCATCCTCTCCTCTTGACCATACCTCCGAACACCCATGTTTCGTCCATATAAACTACGCAGTCCCCTCTTCCGCGAGCGTCTTCCACTTTCCTCAGGTATAAAGACCGCTTTTGGGCGAGATCCGACCGTTCAAAAATGTATCGCTGCCCTTTGAGGGTCTTGTAGGAGAAGCCAAGGCCCCTCACCAATCTCCACAGCGTCATCGACGACAGTCCGAAATACGGATAGGCTGCTATCATTCGTTGGCGTAGCTCCTGGATGGTAACGTCAATTTCTTCCTTCAGCATTGAGTGCACCAGCCGCTTCACTTTCTCACCCCATACGGCGCCGAAATTGTTCATAGCGGACAGAAAGACAGGAACACATCCGTGACACAGTAATGAAAAGAAGCCAAACAGGGGGGACGAAATGGGGAAAAAACAGACGAAACCTGAAAACATAAAAACAATAGCGAAAAAAGCATTTAAAACAGCAAAAACTACACCAAATCAACAAAAAAAGCAAGATACTAATACAATTTATCAAGTAAAGAAAGAAAAGTAACTTACCTTCTCGAAAGCCGGCCGAAATAAGACGATTTTTGGAGAAAAATCGGCTTCGTCGAGTCGATAATCAGCTGATCGCCGCGCCAGCCGTCAATGGGCAGGCGGCAGAGTACTATGCGGCGCGTGTCGAGCGCGCAGGGAGTGAGAGGACGCATAGTAGCTGGCCCCGCGCCGCCGACAGTTTGCTACTCCTGACGCGGTCGCTGATTCACCCGCGTCCGCGTCCTCCGATTGTTCCTATCAGGCGCGAGGATGACGACTGTACATCAGGTCCGGCTGAATACAGAAACCGCTGTGGCTGCATTCAACACCGTGATGGTTGAATGTTCTTTGCCATCCGTAACGCTCAGGCTGAAAAGGAGCAAGGAACTCCGAATAGCTCTGGTTGAATCGCACTGTAGTCTATGCAGAACATATTTCCTGGCGCTCTTCCTACCGCTATACCTCACACGAAATCTGTGGGATGTGTTTGACGTGATTGCATACTAAATGTGGCGGTGGCCGTGCTTCTGGTGAGATTTTTCACTTTGACACACTTGCGGTCATGTCTCTGTTAAACAGCGTCTAACAGTTGTCTCAGATTAAAATATCTCATGAGCAATCAATTCTATGACGTATTCTTATTCCACGCCCACCTCGTCTCAGAGATAAGGAGTGTGTGGTGTTTCATTACAAACTGAATTTACGAGGAGGAATATAGTCCACTCACCATGTTCAGCCAATCAATAGATGGCCAAGAATAGCTGTCGCAGGTGTCATCAAACAGATGATTGCTCTCTTGAGACCATCGCTGATGATACCAATTGAAATTCATCTCAACTACGAAACGATGAGGGATTCAGTCTGTAAATGCCTTACCCCCCAACCGTAGTCGTTCAAAATCATAAGTGTCGAGCATGCAGCGTGCTCTGATAAGGGGTAAATTAGGTGTAGAAAAGCAGATTGGTTACAAACCCGTAAGCGCATCGCAGTGAACATACTACGCCGATCCTATGGGAAGCAGAATGAGTAGCGCATCCCGTAAAGGTGCGGTCCGCGATCAGGTATAGAAGTTGAAAATATGGCGTCGGGAGGGTAGTGTGGCCCGCGACGAACAACCTTGTACCGGTTTCGCAACAAAAATTGTAAGGGAGGGGCGCTATAGCGGAATATAGCTTCAGTGACGCCTCCTTCTTTTTAAAGTAACTCCGCCCGAGGGTGTAGTTCTGGAGAAGGAGTTAATTGGGCACGTACAAGCTGAGATCGGAATGGGGTTCTATTTAGGGCAGTTGGCATGTTTTTTTTCTGTTTTTTCTTCACTATCGAGTTACTCAGAATCTTGTCGTCTATATGCGAACACCTAATCCACTATCTATGATGGCGAGTGATCACTTGCTTTGCCCTTCAAACGCAATCTGTACACTCATCTCCAAGAATGCGTTCTATGTGCGAGGGGAATGAGTCGACCGCTACATAGTGAGCCACTTTCTGTTCACTCTGCTGACGATATGGTCAAAGTGTGGCATTTGCTTCGACGTCAAGATCCCGCAGCGAAACAGGTATTCAGTAGAGAACAACCAGAGGTGAGACGGCGCACACAAGTAGCGCGTTTCGCTATGGTTAGGTGTAAAGCTGGCCGTGCGGCAGCGCGGGCGGAATACGGTGACGACACTCGGGCCCCACTATCCTTCAGCCACGGCCCGTGCTTTTTTCCTTGACAAAGAAAGTGGGAGATAGCAGCAGTGGCCTCTCTCCCCGCACTGAGTGTATGGTTTTTCTTTGAAGGATTTGACCTTTGGGAACTTTAGATTTGTTCAATGGATTTGGTGAAGTGGAGGAGCATCCCGCTAGTGCGCATGAGAGAACAACTTTATCTTCGTCTCAGAGTGCGGTGAACAACTCTCAAAGCGTTTTTTTATTTCTGCAAAGAGGTCGAAAGCACGACTGTTACTGCAAATCGTAGGTAATAAGGTCCAAGAACGAAAGTAAACGCGATGAGGAAAGTGAAGAAGGGGGCATGCTGAACCTGCTGGTTTCAAACAATGCACGAGCATGCGGCGAAGAGACAATGAGCGTGCAAAAGAGAATTAGGCGACGAAATAGAGAAAAACTACATGGGTGGGAGAAACTCCAGCGGACAGAAAAAGTTCCGAAACCCCACCGTCAAAACGTGAAAAAGAAAAGAAGTTGGAGGAGATCCACACTCGGAGCGGAGCTCGGTAATCGCTACCTATCACTGAAGCTCTAATCAAGCACTTCAGCGTACATCCTCCCTGACTACGGGTCGCTTACTTCGCACAAGAAAAGTACTCCCAAAAAAAGAAGGACAAAACAAGCAGATCACGAGAATTCTTGCGGACCATGTCTTCACCCAAGGGCAGCAGAGCTGCAAAACGATTCGGTTCTCTGTAGGGCACGGATTCTACGGACCATAGGGGTGACTGGCAGCAGCTTTAGATAACTACCCAACACATTGTTGCCCTAGATTCATAACCACTGACAAAAAAATTGAGAGAAAGGGTCGTCCGATCAGATGGTCTTGAAACGCCTAGGAATCTATTGGAATGCGCGTTACTTGAGGCTACAAAAAATAAAAGTTGTCTAAAGTAAGGTTATGGAAGAAACGATGAAGAACGTTGATTTTTTCCGAACTGTCGATCGACATGCCTAAGTGAGACATGATGGGTGGAAATGAGTCCCGTGATTTAGAGACACCTAGAAAAGTGGATAAAGAATACGTAGACGGCAAAGATAACTACAGGCCTGACTTTCAGGCCCGATAACGGTGACCTTCTTATCAACTTCAGGAAGTGGGCACTCCATGATATGTACAAGCACACTCCTTGACAAATAAACCAAACGTTTATTGCTTGCATTTTCAATTGCTGAATGTGACTTTTAACAGATAATTACTGATAGTGTATTTAACGTGCACTCATGAAAGATGCTGCGGATTGTGTGCTTTTCTTCGATCGTGTTAAGCACCAGATGATCACTACAACCACCACTTCACTGCAGAGAAAACCAGCAATCCAGCATGCGTAGAGAATGTAGCGGGATTCACTGAAAGATCATCTTGAGATCAACGACAGATGTTTGATGAAAATGGTGCACAGGATAGGGTTTTCTGGCACCAAAGTGTTTTTCGAGGCTGAAATCGTACAAAAATGAGATGTTTGTTGCGAAGAAGGAGTCCTTTACCAACTCTGATCTCAACCAAATGCTCGTGATTCAGGATTACGCTACACGGTCACCTTCGAAGATCCTGGTTCCTTTCATGGGGTTCGTAGCTGTGAAGCGAGCCTTTTTCATCCCTCAGGTGTCGCTGAAATGAAGCTGGAGGGTAGTGATGACTTGATACCGTTTTGGATTCATTTCGCTGTCCATAATTGCAGTATGTGCACCGACCAAACAGGCATCTAGCTGTTCTCTAAACTTGACGGAGGTAGACAGCTTGCCATTCATGTTGTTCGCTGTGGGATCTCGGGGCATATACAGCACGTTATGGATAGGGTCGGAGTCTGGAACGAAATCTGTGACAACCGAGCCTCATTTCGTACTTTCGGGCAGCTCTATGAAAGTAGCCCACTTGCAGCTGCAGACCTGTTCACCTGTACCTGGCGCGGATCCTCTTGAAGGTAAGCGCACAGCGTATTTCCAAGGAGATTATAGATATTCAAGGCATTGATACCCGCATGAGGAATCCAGTTCCCGAGGCAATTTCACGGAAACATTTTAGATGGACAGCGTTTTAGACAGCTTTGGCGCACTTCGAAAATAACGATCTAGTGCTTTACAATTCTACTTTTCCCTTCACAAATGGTCCATTATGAGAAAGTTTGGGGAAGGGTACATTTGCCATTTTTCGCCCTTTTCGCAATACCAGTCGGATCGCCCAGCTATCGCCTCCTCCTTCTGTGACATGGCCCGGCTTCGCCGGGCCATGCGGATTTGCCGCGTGCTAAGTTAAGGATCGTTGACCAACCACACTGTTCAAAGGAATCTTCTGCATCAGCCAAGAACTGAAAAGCAGCGCTTGTTCCGTCAAAACGCAGAAGCAGCAGGAGCGCCCGCCGCATCACAGAAGAGGGAGAGCCGGCCTTAGCCAGCGATCCGACTGGTACGTTCATAACCTACACGGGAATATTGCAGCCTGTTAGGTTAGCTGCTGAAGCAGCCTATGATTCATGCATTCTGTCGCCTTAAAGCGTCTTGCTTTGGAATGCACTCCCGCATTCAGCAGTGGAACGCGTTAAATGGCCCTCACTAAGGTTGTTGATGGAAGATAATTGTGGTAAGCGTGATTAAGTGAATTGATGCTGTTCATAACATCTCTGTAAACAAACCCCATGCATTTGGAATAGAGCTAGCTTAGCGGTACACGATGTCGTTACTAATAAGCAGTGAGGAATGAGTTCTGTTGGAATCATTGAGATCGTTATACTTGAGTCATATCGATCGCATTGTTGTTGTGAGCGGTGAAGCGGATTTTCCCATGTTACCTTGTCACTTTTAGCTCCTATCACTTCCGTCACCCGCTAATAATATTCCCGCCCCATATCACTATCATATCACGCTATATCACCTCTCGGCTCCAAGCCCCACTGTTGCTGTAACCTGCGTAAATTTGATGACCCTCCCCTTCCGAGGCCCCTTATCGGATCTTATCAACTGTTATCACTTTCTGTCACCCGCCAATAATGTTCCCGTCCCACACCCTATATCACCTCTCGGATCCAAGGACCCACTGTCCCTGTGAGCCG